GCATAACACCCAGTGCTCCATGCAGAACGTGCCCTCTTTAATACCCATCACCAGGCTAACCCATCCTCCCGCCCTCCTCCCCTCTAGAACCCTCTGTTTTTCCCTGTACTCTTTTATATAAAACTGGGAAGAGAACATCAGGCCCTCACTCAGAGCCTTGTGCTCTTAGTTCAGATACATATCCAATAACTTGGATATCTGGTTCTCTATACCCTTTCTATCACCTTCCCTCCCCTTAGCCTACATTATATTAGAAGCAGAAAATATAAATGGTTGGGCAAATACAAGTGAAATTTGGGAATTCCTGTCAGTGGCTCTAAGTAACAGTTAAAGAAAGTACACAACAAAGCTATAAAAATAGACCCTCTTCCTCCAAATCACAGAAATCTGTGGTCATCTATAGGTATAAGCAATCCTAGAGCTTCAAAAGCTCATGAGGGTTATCAGAAATTACAGTACAGAGGAATATTAGATTTTTAAAAATGTTAATATCATCAAAAAACAAGTTAGATTAAGTCACTGTGCTCATTATGGGATACTGAAAAGATGCAATATTACAACATTCCAATCAAAATAGTTGTCCAAAGGAGATAAACCTCAGTTACCTGAAAAAATTTACTGATTCATTTTCTGTTTATTCCCCATTATGGCAGATAAATGCAATTATACAATACTGTATACTATGCAGTTCCTAATGCAACTGCTTGATTTTCTATCAAAATACTATCAATTTCAGAAGCTTATTCTTTCAAGAAAGGTTATCATATCTGTCTTTCAAGGCCCAATTCACATGCTACCATATTTAACAAAACCTTCATCTTCCCACTACCTCCTCCTCTCACCCTCCCCTACATTTTATGGCATGTCTCACTTTTTACCATGAATTATGGTTATTTATAAGATTTTCTCTCTCTCCTAGGATGTGTAGTATTTATGGGCTGGGACCACGTCTTACTTATTCCCCTTACACCCCTCTGACACCCACCCCCCTACCCTACCCCAGCCGGGGCTAGGTGAAGGCTAATGGAAGCTCACTTCTTTTCCCAATAGGACATGGGGCACTGAAACAAGATTCATCTGGACTCCCAAGATGCATCTGCTATTCACAGTGAGGGTATAATCTGAGGAGACTCTCAGTCTTGTTGTAACACTGAGAGGTTAAATTCCTCAACCTTGCCCTCCTCTCAAGCGAGATAGTCACTGCAGAGTCTAAGAATCTAGGAGTGTTACAGGCACCACTCACTTGGGTCTGTAGATCAGAGATCTTCTCAGGACGCCACTCCTTTGGTCTGCTGCTCGGGGTGCTAGCAGAGTGAATGGCTTTCTGTAATGTCAGCAGATCGGGGCCGTCAGAATTGGGCACCTAGAGCAGAATATGGGCAAGGATTCAATAAGAACCCTAATAAGCCTTACTAAGATATGCAACCACACCCAAGAGGAGAACAAAAACAAATCAAAGGAAACCAAACCTCTACCCCACCCCCCCAATAAAAAACGAAACCAAAACTCTCCCAATGTTCACAATGCAAGTGATGCCAGTTAAATTCTGCTGCCCTCTTAATAATTTTCCCTGCATTAGGAAAAATTGGCAGATGTCATGCAGCTTTGTTAAAACCTCAACCCTTAAAGCATTCCCATGCTGTTAGTTTTAGTCGCTGTAAGAGAGAGCAGTTAAATTGGGCTGTACCAGAAATTGCTGTCGTATCCTCATTCCATATTGCAGTTAGGTTATGAACCAGTTCAATAAAACAAAAATTTGCTCCTGCTGGGAAAATGATCCAAACACTGTATTTGGTGGTGCCCAAAGAAATCTAGCAGGCTTTCAAGGATACTGAAGTGGGAAAAGTATGGTTTGAATCATATTCCCAAGACACTGCCCAGGAAATCTGGGTCTAGCATTACGCACTATAAAAATCCTGGAAATTTGTGCCACAAACTCCAGATGAATGCAGTTGGTCCATTCACCGATTTTGGTGAACACAGAATAATGCCAAATGCCAAGCAAAAGCCCTGGCTTTACACTAAGTGACCAGCAAAAGCTAGAGCCAGGCAAGGAAAAAGCAAATCACCAACTAAGAAAAGTGGAGCCTGCTGGCTCACTCAATTTGGTCAATTCAACTTGGTTTCAAAGAACAAACTGCCAACCAAGTGTTAACAGACGTCGTGAGCCAAATGAAAAGACACTGTTAATTGTAAACGTTAATCAAATTCTTTAAAGGAAATAAGGGATTTTATGAATGCCGTCTGCCCACAAGTGGCTAACCAGACAACCCAAACTAGCCTTTCACTAGTTTGTTTAGTAGCCTTTTATGCTTCAACTTCCTTAACTGATTCACAAAATCCAGAATGGCAAAGAATTGATATTTCAGTAACTTTATGGAACTGGCTCAGGTACTTAACTAGCACAAAGAGAATATGACCCCATGAAAATACAAGACATGCTGTGGTCATCAGTAAAACAAGTTTACTGGAGCAGTGTGCAGGGCTACCGTACGTAAAAATGGGTACCATGGGTGGAGTGACTACAGGAAGCTTTTTCAAAGAAGAACTATGCTTTAAATGATTCTTTGAATTAAAAAGAGGAAAGAGGGATTTCTTGATGCTTGGATTCTCCCCGTTGGTGGAATCTGTCTGCAATATAAGATACAAATAAACTAATTGCAAAAAAAAAAAAAAAAAGGAAAGAAAGAAAGAAAGAAAGGAAGAAAGAAAAGAAAAGAAAGAAAGAAGAGAAAGAAAAAAGGGTATTCTTACTGAAACTCCTAGCCCTTGGGAGCCCTGATATTGTTCAATATTAATAGTCACTTAAGGAATCTCTGTGCTGTGTGTGCACCTAGAGGAGTTCTGTGTCATTTCTCACCTGGACATGAAGATGCCAACAAAGTAAATTCAAAACCTGCAAAAACTTCAATGTATAAAAAGAACATGTGGTCATGATCCTTACCTATAATAGGAATGCCTAGAAACCTACACACATCTAGTCACACTGAGCTTACAAAACATTTAAGGATTTATTTATTATCAGGAGTAAGAGTATTATAAAGAATTGTGTTTAAAGAGCTACTGATGAACTTCAATCTTTTCCTAATTGCTAGTGAGGACTTCAGGAACTAAATAATTGACCATGTGATCTGCCTATGGCGGAGAGGGGGAGAAGATATAGCAAACCCTTTTGAACATGGTCAACTCTTGAACCAGAAAACATCACTTGGTCTACCATCATGGAAGAAGCCTGGTTCTATCCTATTAAAGAAATACTCACTCCATGGAAAATATGTGGCACCATTCAGAATACAGGTTTTCAAAGTGAAAAAACAGAAAGTTCAATCTTTAAATTGACGCATGATTACCAATTGAGATACTAACTAACTAGGGTACAATTACCAAGTTGGCAAAGTCACCATATGCTCTGAGGGCTTATGTAACTCTGGATATGGAACTGAAGCCAGATTTCCCAAGGCGGCTTCCAGATTTGCTTGAGTCAAAGCAGGCACCTTTGCAATACAGAATTATTTTTTGGCACCACTTTTCCCTGTTTTGGATAGTTCAATTGTTAGAGAACTAGAATATATATGAAGGTATTCAGATCACCTTGTATGAAGCCATTCAATTAAGATGGCCCATTGAAGGTTCCTGTTCCCATCGCTTCTCGGCCTTTTGGCTAAGATCAAGTGAAGGTTCCTGTTCCCAGGATGGGATCCCAGGGAAGAGTTTAACTTACCTCACTAAGGAGGCCACAGGAGAGTTCCCAGGAATCAGTGGCCAGAGGCTCTCTACCAGAGGTGGGCCTGTGGCAGGGACTGAGCCTGGGCCTGCTATTTAGGAGAACCCACCTCTAGTTCTCCCGACTGATTGTGCGACTTTGGGCAGGTCACAACTTGCCTGAGCAGTCCTCCATCGGTGAAATAAAGGTGTTAAACTAGATTTGGGAGCCAGTGAGGTTTAAAAATGTCCTGTTTCTCTACATGCACTGGGTGCCACATTTCTTGCTTTCTTTCCTTCCTTCCTTTTTCTTTTTGAGTTTTATTCAAAGACCACAAAGCTTTAAATCTTTCAAAGCTGGTTTACCTAGTTTCCTTTTGCTGAGTTCTAGAAAGTGAAAAAAAGGTAACTTTAATTCTGTTTCAATGCTCACTTGAAGGAGGCAGAGTTGACGTCATGCTAGGCTTAGGAGACTGAGGTCTGGCAGAATTCAGAGGGCTCTTTGGAAATCTTACTCTAAAACCCAAAGGCCTTAAAAAAATTTTTCTTCTGGGGTGGCTGGGTGGCTCAGTTGGTTAGGCGTCTGACTCTTGATTTTGGCTCAGGTCATGATCTCAGGGTTGTTGAGATCGAGCTCCGCTTTGGGCTCTACACTGGTTGTGGAGCCTGCTTGGGGTTCTCTCTCTCCCTGTGCACCCCCTCTCTCTCCAAAAAATTCTTTTTCTTTTAATTAAAAAATGCAGAGGCTCAACTTTTGATTTGGAAGGCTTAAAGCATTGTGGCCTATATAGAGATATTTTGCAGTTACTTTACATATCGAAAATGAAATGTATAAAAACCTTTAAAAAGTTTGAGTGGAGAGGATGTTAGAGAATAATTATTTTCCTATTTGCCCTAACCTATACTATTTAAAAATCTAAAATTTGAACGAGATCCTGAATAACAGAGTTAGTCAACATGTATACACTCAACTCAGGCCATGGTGAGCCAGGGGCTTTAGGTTTAATGTTAGTCTAATGCAGACAGACATTGAAAGCCAAATCTATACACAAAACACCTTCAATTCCTTGGTTCCTGCTACTTTCTTCCACTTAATTACCCCACAGTGGCTACAGACCTGAGGTTAAGAACAAAAACAAAAACCTCAAAATAAAAATAACAGGGGTTAGGAGAGGGAGTCTAAGTTCAATGTTCATGATGGATAAATATGTTCTACAGACAATGATAAAAGTTTTATTGTATTAGCATTTTAAATATTTTAAGCTTCTCCACTTTAATCAGGTCTATTTTGTTTATCCAGTCTAAATAACAAATGTAGCAATATTTGATTGAGTGGCATTTTGATTTGACATTTTGCTTTACATGAATTTTAGGTAGAGATATAGACAGTTTTTTTTAAAAAACATGAATGTTTCAGGAAATATTATGCAGCCATTAAAATGAAGATGATACGATCTGTGCAGTAACATATATTATGTGTATGTGTGATTGACAGATATACTATTAAAGGTCAGAATACAAAACTATACAAGGATTACTATTATTTAAAACAAACTAAAAAACCACCTTCTTTCTACAAACATATGCCTAGACTAAAAAGCTAGGAGGAAATACACCAAAATCCTAATGCTAGTTGTAACAGGGTGATAAGATCAGTGTGACAGGTGATAAGATTAGAAATGATCTTTTTTCTTCAATTTTTCTATAATGAAACACATCAATTTAACAAATATGCAAAATATGCAAGTGAAAGAATGATCTAGAAACGTAATCTAGGAAGGTCTTTATTAATATTTCTAGAACATCTGTGATCCTTACTTTGGGTATTACATTCTTTGCTACTATCATCTATCTCATCTTTACTTACCACTGAGTCATAATCCTAGAATCTTTTTTCCTTTTTTAAATAAATGAGAGTCAGTCATGTATGAAGAAGAAACAGAAACAAAAGCATTTAAAATAGCTGACTCAACACTGTCTGGCCTTGAAAGTACCATAAAGCAAAGAGGGAAGCAGGCCTCACGTGGGTGAAGAAGCTCCTGCTGGCCTAGAGGCCTGGCTTTCCCATGTTTCCTCACGTCACTAACCAGCAGAATCCTTGCTTGGGTGGTTCAGTGATATGATGTGCACGGTTCCATGGAGCCAAACCTTGGTTGAGGCAGAGGGCTCCCAGGAGATAAGACTCGTTCCAATTCACAGTTCAGTCCCAAGATAAACATGTCTTCCTACTAAAGCAAGCCCTGAAATGTCAAATACTATTCTCCTCTCTGTGATTATGCAGCCCAGAAATGCACTTGTCAACATGGCAACTGGAAAACCAGCCAGGGAAGAATAATGAATGATGGTTAGTTATAAATTTCAAGATTTAAGCACACACCAAAACCATTTCCTAAGTTTTCACACATCTTTAACCCCCAAAGAAAAATAAATCCTGCAGCTTCGTAGTTTTTACATGAATATAAATCCACATGGATGTTTATTGAGAGAGGTTAGTGTTCTCTCTCATCCAAATTAAATTTCTTCTATTCCTGGAGATTCTGTGGAATCTAGAAAAGGCTCTGTGAGAAGAGGATAGTTGTATAGAATTTAGAAAGACACATATACAATGTATGCATGTCAAATCTCAGTAAGAAAATAATTCACTTTCATTGCCATGTACAAAATGTCAAGTACCCACAGACTAATGCAGACTCATATGCCACTGTATATAGAAAGTAGCCATCTACTTACTGTTTGAGATTTCTTCTTTTTCTTTTTCATTGACCTGAAAAAACCTTGTTTCTCCTTTTCCTTGAGTTGTTCGGAATGACTAATGTTTTCAGGACTTTTCCTAAATGGGAAGACATTTTTTATCATATTGATCTTTCAATCTTTCTCCTGCCATTCTATGACAAATACAATGAAAACTTAAAAATGCATGAAACCAGATTCAAACAGCCATGAAAAATAAAGCACATAGTTAAAGAGCCTCTAAGAAGCACAGGAGGAACTGAATCTAATCAACCATGGTTAATGATTAGCCTTTGGCACAGGCACACTTGAACTGGCAATTTGAGCATTATTACAAATGATCTGGTAACTGTGCTGCAGGACCATTTTCATGCTGTTGAAAACCTCAGAATTGGAGAATCTGAAAAGCACACAGTTTAAAGGATGGATGCCTTTTTCATAACCCTCCAAGGGAAATAGCTGAAACATTTTCAGTATCTTCGTTTTTCTATTTACCTTTCTAAAACCAGCTCAAGAAGTTCATTATTAGTGGTTTGCCAAGATACTGAACATAAAAAACAAAACAAAACAAAACAATGGTGCTACAGAAGTGTTGTAAATAAAAGTAAAAATTGCCTCAAACTGGAAAATTCCTTTATAAAAACCTAACATCTATTTATTGAAACTAAATTGAAAAATAGATCAGGTAAGAAAAAACGTGGACAAGATGAATGCTTTAATACAAAGTACTTGTGGAAAAAAAACTTATAACTGAAAATACTGACAACATTAAGCTTCATACCACACTGACTCCACCAGGTTTTTTTTAAGATTTTATTTATTTATTTATTTATTTATTTATTTATTTGAGAGAGAAACAGCATGAGAGGGGAGAGGGTCAGAGGGAGAAGCAGGCTCCCCGCTGAGCCGGGAGCCTGATGCGGGACTCCAGGATCATGACCTGAGCCGAAGGCAGTCACTTAACCAACTGAGCCACCCAGGCGCCCCTCCACCAGGTATTTTAACACAAATAGGAGGTATTAACAGACAGCAAGCAGAACACCTTGGCCCTAATAAGTTGCAGACTTGTATGTTAACAAAGGCCCTGTATTACTTAATTTAATTTACAGTCTTTAAAAAGCAACTCAACTGGTGGTATTCTTCAAAAAGACACATTCCATGGGTTCTATTTTAAATTTTAATATATGACTGTGCAAAACCATTTTCTCAAATAATTGAATTCCTTCTATTAGCTATTCCCTAAAATCAAGAGTAAAACATTAAAGGTAAGAGTTCATTCGTATTGGTGATTTTAGAACACGTAATGGTGATGAAGTTACTACAGTATCTTTCTAAGAAAATATGAGCAAAGTGGCATTCTTTTTTTTTTAAAGATTTTATTTATTTGACAGAGAGAGACACAATGAGAGAAGGAACACAAGCAGGGGGAGTGGGAGAAGGAGAAGCAGGCCTCCTGTGGAGCAGGGAGCCCGATGCAGGGCTCGATCCCAGGACCCTGGGATCATGACCTGAGCCGAAGGCAGACACTTAACGACTGAGCCACCCAGGCGCCCCGCAAAGTGGCATTCTTGATTAAATCTGTGTGGAGACAGTAAACATCTATATAAACTGTTACAGAGCCACATGATAGAAAACACCACAAAGCTATCAAAAATAAATCATATCTTCAAAGAATTTTCAGTAATCTAAAGGAATATTTAAAATATAATACTAAGTGAAAAACCACAAGATTCAAAACTTGCTACATAATATGAGCCTAACTGTATTTAAAAAAAAAAAAAAAGGATGAGGTGGGATGGGGTGACTATGCAGCGCAGTTGGTTGAGCATAGGACTCTTGGTTTTGGTTCAGGTCATGATCTCAGGTCATGGGATCGAGCCCTGCGTCAGGCTCCATGCTCAGCACGGAGTCTGCTTGGGATTCTCTCTCCTTCTGCCTCTGCCCCTCCTGCTTGTGCTCTCTCTCCCTCAAATAAATAAGTAAATCTTTAAAATAAAAAGGCATATATGTGTACACACACACACATATCTTTTTAAAGGCAGAAATAAAATAAAATCTTAACAGCTATCATCTCTGGGTAGTAAGATTATTGGTGATTTATTATTTCTTCTTTTTAGTTTCAACATTAAACATGTGCTACAGATATAATAAAAAGGTTATAGAAACCACAGAAAACTTATTTTAAAACCCAAAAACTCAAGATCTAAGACAACAAGGGAAGAGACTGAAAAAGACAGATTAAAAAACAGGAAAACATGACTCTGTGAAGGAGCAATGATCATTTCTTCTTAAGTGTCCAGCCTAAAAGTTAATGGGAATACCAAGGAAGTAAAAACTCGGGACTGTAGGCCCAAGCGTTCCTGAAACTCATTAGGACCTGCAATTTTAAACATCATTGAGAGTTCCAAGCTCTGAAGTGAAAGTTTTATAATACAACACAACCAATAAAAATAACTAGCATTGGAACTCAGAATGATACATTTACAATTCTGAAAGCTAGAAAACTTCAGATATGATGGAATAGGTAAGAATGGAATAGTGAAAAGTTCGGTTCTAAGGAACATAGTAAAACAATGTAGTTTCCTGGAATCACAAAAGCACAACTCTCAGAATTGAAAGGAACCCCACATAGCATCTAGACCAACCAGCAATACTATTTTTAATGTCTTATAACTTACAGAAGTTAAAGAACTATTTGCTTATGATATAGCTTATGTCTTTCCATAATGGGGTCTGTACCTAACCTAGAAGCACAGCAAAGTATTCAGATTAACAGGTAGAATTTTTTTTTTTTTTTTTAACCAATCAGAACGTAAGTCTAACAAAATCTCCAAGGTCTGCCGAGGGTCAGTAGTAAAAGTGCTTTCTGCCAATCCAGGAAATCTTTAAGGGGGACACGTTCATCATGACTGCAAGCTCAGGATGGGAATGGACATTACTGTAAGACTACTAATGCTGGCGTGAGAGCAAGAGAAGTCTTGAGACACTAATCCTAGGAGGAACAGATCTGGGATGGGAAGAAGTCTCTATCCAGTAAGATGAAAGTGAGGGGGACCGGTGAGAACGGTAATGAATGAGAAACAGCAGGAGGACAAAAAGCCCAGGGTTTGCAGTCCCTTGTGAGCACAAAATGCAGGGAAGATAAATCAGAGACCCTCTGCAGGGTCTTTTCAGAGACACTGGGTAAACCAGAGCCCAGGGAAAGGAGGAATGATGAGAAAAACATCTTCAGACTGAGACTGAACAGAGGTAGTGGGGCCAAGATTCGGGTAGGGAAAGATCCCAGAGACCAAAACAAAAAGGGAAATAAATTACCCTTGAACTAGAAAGATGAAAGCTATGAGTGAAGCGTGAGTGTGCATGTATCACAAAAGACACAAAAAGGAAGTCAGAAAAAGAGTGCAAGTGGGAGAGAAAGAGAGAGGGAGATAGAGAAAGGACAGAGGGAGAAGCTACATGGAAACATACACATACAGAGAGTTAGAGAAACAGAGGGAGAAAGCCTGGAAGATAGACTCAGAGAGAGGCAGAGATGGAGAAAAGCCGGCTGGAACACAGGCACCTGAAAAGCTGTGTGTTGTACAAAAGAATAAAGACAGAGATACAATCAGTACTACACCATAATTTATCTCATTTGTGAATTCTGGACCCTATGATTCTACCTGGTATAGGCAATAGACGGGTCCAAGAGGAGCAGCACAAGAGAAGGGCAAATGGGTGATCACATCCATCTCAGGTACAGGACCTTTGAGAAGGACCACCCAGCTAGCAGCGGGGGTTGGGGTGGGGGACCTCCCCCTACTCTGACATCCTCTAATGTAACAGCTGTTTTATAAAGGGTCAAGAGGAAAGAGAGAATTCAAGACTTCCCTAAAAAAGGAAGGAATTAAAGTTGACTGAATGGAAGTTAACCAACATTTATGGAATACTGTGTATGTGGTGGGCCTGGTGTTAGAGGTGTTGGGGCTAGAGAGAAAAATAAAACAAGGAGTGTGACCTCAAGCTGCTCACAGACTCAAGGTGGGATACCCACAGGTTCGACAGAGGGTCAGATCCTAGTGCTTCAGTACAGTAGTGTGACACTTTCCCTGCTACCCCCCTCCCCTGGCCATGGGACTAAACCAGTCAGCTGATGTCTGAGAAGAAAGCAATCAGTGAACAATTTTGTGAGTTATGGTGGCAAGCAATAATGGATGCCAATATATTCATAACTTAACCAGAAGAAAAAGCCTGGGGCTGTGCAAGCAGTGACAGCAATCCTTCACTTACCTTAATTACTAGGATTCCTACAAACATATTTTATATACTTTGCCTTTTTAAGGAAAGTAAGAACAGCCTGTTTTAGAAATCTATATGCTTCATGGATATCTATTCTACATATGAAATCATGAGGGCCAGAAATTATATTCCTACTGGGAGCCTGAGAAAAGGCAAAAATACCCCTCTCCTCTCCCTGGCTATTACTTGGGATCTTTCTCCCTCTTCACACTGTATTGTTACCCGGGATTACTTCTTGCCTGACAACCTCACTGCCAACTGCTAAAACTGTGTGTAAGAGTCAACAGGCTTAGGGGTGGTTCAGTCGGTTGAGCATCCGAATCTTGATTTTGGCTCAGGTCACGATCTCAGGGTCATGAGATGGAGCGCCATGTTGGGCTCCGCGCTCAGCGCAGAGTCTGCTAGAGATTCTCTCTCCATCTCCTCCCCACCCGTCTCCCTGCTTGTGCACATGCATTCTCTCTCGAATAATAAAATCTAAAAAAAAAAAAAA